CTTCGTAGTTCAGTGTGTATCATGTGATCCACTTCGTAGTTCAGTGTGTATCATCATGTGATCCACTTCATAGTTCAGTGTGTATCATCATGTGATCCACTTCATAGTTCAGTGTGTATCATGTGATCCACTTCATAGTTCAGTGTGTATCATGTGATCCACTTCATAGTTCAGTGTGTATCATTATGTGATCCACTTCATCGTTCAGTGTGTATCATGTGATCCACTTCATAGTTCAGTGTGTATCATGTGATCCACTTCATAGTTCAGTGTGTATCATTATGTGATCCACTTCATAGTTCAGTGTGTATCATGTGATCCACTTCATAGTTCAGTGTGTATCATTATGTGATCCACTTCATAGTTCAGTGTGTATCATGTGATCCACTTCATAGTTCAGTGTGTATCATCATGTGATCCACTTCATAGTTCAGTGTGTATCATGTGATCCACTTCATAGTTCAGTGTGTATCATGTGATCCACTTCATAGTTCAGTGTGTATCATCATGTGATCCACTTCGTAGTTCAGTGTGTATCATGTGATCCACTTCATAGTTCAGTGTGTATCATGTGATCCACTTCGTAGTTCAGTGTGTATCATGTGATCCACTTCATAGTTCAGTGTGTATCATTATGTGATCCACTTCGTAGTTCAGTGTGTATCATTATGTGATCCACTTCATAGTTTAGTGTGTATCATCATGTAATGGACGTCACAGTTTAAGGGTATATGTCTAGTGAAGGGAGACATTACTGTAGAGGAACAGTTTGTTGTGATAAGGAGATAGTAGAATGTTACATCAGCACTTAATCAGTAGGATAAAGAAATAAGTAGACATTAGTTGGGTCCTTTCTTACCGGTTATGTCCTAAAGCTATAATTTTGTGGCACATATTGAATAGAGAATTTTGGGGTAATACAATTTAGAATTAGTCTACAGGATTTTGGCTTACCCTTACATTCATTTTTTTCACATTACATCGTTGGAGTTCAGTCAGATGGAAAGGAAAAAAATTCCCAGTTGGTGGGTGGTCCACTTTCCATCATATAAATATAATTCAACCTAATGGTGCATCACACAGGATTGTGGCCAAGAGGATTGTAACTCATCCTATCATTGCTGCCTTTGCATTAAACATATCTTTCTGTGTTCCAAACCTTAGTTATCTGTAATTATCATAAGAGTGACATCACCTTAAATATGGATTAATATTTCATTAATAATGTTGTTATTGCTTTTTTCCTTTGGAAAATATGTTGCTACTGCTATAATCTTTTTTTTATATTTAACTCTCCTATGGTGAGATTTGGATTACTGGTCACTTAAAAGGAAATTTACATTGCAAACCAAAATGTGTGCCACATTGGTATGATCATATCTTCTTTCTAATTTCAAGAAATAGGATACTGAAATGTACAGTACAGTAAAAGTGTAGAGATGTAAGAGAAAACATGTAATTTGGAAGTGAACAAAAGTTTAGAGGTGTGGATATTGCCAGCAAAGCATGAAAGAGCATGAGGGTAGCATCGGCTGACTGATGGCAGCATTCACGTCATGTAAACAAAGCAGCAGAAATTTAGGATGGGGCAATACAGTAGGGTCGGGATATATAAAGACTTTATATAACGATTTTTTTTATATCGCAGCGACTAAAATTATCAACATTTTCCTATATATCGCGATAAATTTATTTACAGTAGAATCAACTTACGTGGGGTTATGTTCCTGGGACCTCACATAAAGCAAAAAACTGTATAAAGTCAGAAACACTCCTAAAAATCCCCTAAATTGCTAAAAAAATACGAGTTGAAAAACTGTACAGTACACCCACCTCTTGTTTTATGCAGGGGTTACGTTCTTGAAAACCACCACTTAATTCAAAAAGGCGTAAATGAAGCATAATTTTAGCTTTAGGTGCCCCAGAGGAGGCAGATGGATGTTTCCCAGACATGCTCAATGGGAAAAACAGCGTTTAACACTAAAAGGGTACGTGATAAACACACAATGCAAATGAGAGCACAGAGAAAAGGTAGTGCTGGTGTGACCTGAGAAAGCGATACGCGGGAAGCTTGTTGGACGTCGTCACAGTTGTTGTACAGAATACTTCATTATCATCATTAGTAGTAGTAATAATCTTTATTATTACATTATTATAATAATTATTATTATTAATAATACAGTAATATTAAAATCGTTGATGTTGATATGAGTGCAACTTTATAGTAATAACTTACAAGCACCTCACCAGGCATCACACGTGACTCCACTGCCAGGCGACCAGGTTAATATGCGCGGCAAATGTAAACTGTCTTGAGCGCGTTATTTAAAAAATAGGTGCGGATAAATTAGCTTTTGATATTAATTGAACAATCGCATTATTCCAAAAACTCTTAAATCAAACGCGTGTAAAATGCGAGTTATTTGTACTTAAATGCAGTCTAAAAGACTAAAATTTGTATCTCTTGTGTAAAGTATAGGATGTCTGAATTCAAATTATTTGCTGTCTTGTAAGGATTCCAGCAATACAATTTATACTGTAATTCATTGGTGGTTTATATTTTTTCCCAGAGAATGTATTTCCAATTAGTGAATGGAAATTACTGTGTTACGACAGTATACAGTAGGGTCGGGATATAGTGCAAGATAGGGTCCAAGGATGTTCGCTGTAACTAAATGGCTATATATAATTACATGTAATCAATGGGGAAAATAGGGTTAGGTTCTGGAGGCCAATAAAAGTGACTAAACTTGACTTAACGAGTTTATTTTCTTACTAACTAAAGCACCAATGAACACTAGACTCGGGAACAACAGACTGTTTCAATATCAAGGAACACCAGACTCGGCAGCTGGCGCACCATCCCAACAACAACAAACGACACACTGCCACCCTCACTTGACAATCATACAGTAAATGAACAAACCAAAAATATTAGTTACAGGATTAAATCTTTTCCATTAAGCTTTCCATTCTCTTCACTTTACTTTTCACGTCACTAGCAACCCATTTACACTCGTTTTAGAAGTTGTAATCTTCAGCAGAGTCGGCTGCTTACTCGTCACTCACTGAGAAGGATCGAGCGGGCGAGCGCGAATGCGTGGGTGAGCAGCCACGGTGACGCCTCTGGGGAGGAAATAATGCATTTGTTTGCCATGGCGGTACATTTGAAATATTTCCTGCCAGATTTCCCTCGCGAAATAAATAAATTTATCGCTATATATATTGGAAAATTTTGATAATTTTGGTAGTGGCGTATATTTTTTTTTTCATAAAAAATTGTGATATATCCCGATCCTACTGTACTGTAATGTAATCTTCATAGATATTGGCTAAGCATTTCATACTTTTCTCTTTGTTTCAACTATTATCCAGTGACTTGTACATACAGGTATAAGATTATTGCTATGCTGAGCTGTGTAGATAGAAGAGTGGTTTAATTTATCATAACACTGCATTGCCACTTTAGGGTTTTTCACTTTTTCTTCTTCTTCCCCTGTTAATAGTAGCTAGTCCTCAGTTACTGTCTCTTTGTGCATTTTGTATCCTCTACTTTGACCTACTTGTATTTCCAGCTTTCCTCCTCCTGCTCCTCCTCTCTACATATTGTATGATTGTTGAGCCAACCCTCATTCTTACTTCTTTCTCATTTCAAACAGCAGCATCATCCTGACATTAGTAATAACCCCTTAATAATCCTCAATTCTTTTACTTGAATTTTTCATGTAACTTCTTTGACTTTAAATAATCTCCAAATGAGTGACAACTGCTTGACTTTGTTTTGATAATTTCCAAATAAGTGGCAACTGCTTGACATTTTTAATAATCTCCAAATGAATGATAATGTAGGTTTTTTTATGTTGCTTGTCAGTCATTTGGTGTTTAATCTCACAAAACCCACTCTGGAGAATATATCCTCTTAGTTGTCAATCAATGTTAGATTAAGGCTGCCACTACCCCATTAATCACCATGTTAGTGAGTGAAGGGAAATGATTATTAACTTCAAGATTAGCTTTGTTACAAGCCACTTGATAGTCTTTCTCACAAGTGGTGAGATGTTAGAAGACCCTATCTAATAATAAGGACTTTACAGTATAAATAGCACACTGTACTGTAGTTTCCGTGTTTATTTATAAGACAACAAGTATGAACACTTCACAGGATATGGCTTGTTATGGTGAAAGGGTTCACTACTAGGTCTGCTAAAAGTGACAACAACACATACTATTCATGCTTACTTAAGCACAGGTGGTCAGGGGCCATGTGACGTCTTATCACAGGGTTACTGGGGGTTAATGAATGTGTTGACACAGCACAACTCGGAGAACAAAGGATACTGTGGTGAACTTAAGTAGACTGATTATACTCCCACAACAACTGCTTGACTTTTTTTTATAATATCCAGATGAGTGGCAACTGCTTAAATTTCACAATAACCCTCAAAGAAGAGTCAACTGTTTAACAAAAATGGTAATAGAATAAATGTGTAGAATTATTCATCAAATTAAACATGTGTACTGTACCTGTAAATTCTGAACACTTAAAGGTCTCTATGAAATACTTGCAGATGATTCTACATGTGATTGCCCTCCTCAAGGGAGGGCAGTTCTCAGAAGGGAAAAATTAAAAGTACTGTAATGTATAGGATGGGTGATAGAATAGGTATATGGTATTTCTGATATTTTAGTATTTGTGTAATTCTTAAACCATTTGGCGTACTGTACACATTAACAAAACTATTAAGTGTTCCATAATGAGTAATTGACTGTTTCCAGTAATTACCTTAATCCATGCCTGAACCATCTCACACCCACACCAAAAATATAGGTATTCCATTATTTTTAAAGTGTAAATATGGGGATCCCTTTCCTATCCTGTATTCACCATTAGTATATGACCACGCTACTTAGTATTCTGTTGAGTGCCTTGTCACTCGACTGTTGGAGGAGCTGAGAAGAGTTGCACCTACAGTATGCTTGACCACCACTTGTCTTGACAGATTCAGGAGGCACAAAACACAGGGGTGCAACGACCATCCTCTACAGCAAGTTCCCCTGCAACCCCAACCACTATCACCAACAACAACTCTAGTGTCACCAGTAATGCACCCAAGGTATGCGCTTGTAGACACTACTCCTTATCACCTGCTACACTTCACTTTATAAGCACAATATTTTCATATTTGTACTGTGTGATGAACTAGAAGAGGAACACTTGATACTGTGTTTTCTGTACTTTGACACTCACCCATTTTCAAGCTAATGGTCACCTAATATGCTACAGATGAGAAAGATAAAGGTGAAGGGTTAACTTTGCAACAACAGGTGAGTGTATGCCATATATTTAAAAAAATGTAAGCTGTTAGAGGGAAAGAAATTCCATAAATAAGAAGTTTGAAAGATGAAGACAAGTGACTGAAAATATAGTTAGCTAATGGAATGTGCCCCGAGTAGAAGTAACTTAACTCCTAATCCCAGTCTATATCCCCCCCCCCTCTCCTCTCAGCATTAGGTTTAAAAAAATAAAAAAAATTATTTGTAGCGACTGTTTCTTTTCTGTTTCCATATTGGTATGATAGTTTGGGCCACGATATTTCCCCAACACCTCTCAGTGCTGACAGGCTGTTTGTAGACTCAAACTTATCACCACCACCACCACCATATTCTTCTATACAGTATCACTGCTTTCCATAAAAAATCTTATTTATTTCCATCTTGCCACAAACATATATTTATTTTTGCGTATACTGTATGTTTGCAAGAGACATAGGTATCACTCTTGAGGCTGCCAGATGCATGTTCCGATAAATGTCCTTCATCCATGGCGTTTATGGGGTAACTAAACAGCTGTGAAATTTCTGAGGGTGAATTATTACTGCTAGCAACATATAGCATTATCCTTCTTGAATGGCAACAAGCATCCTTTGAAAGCCTTCTTCTTTTTATAAATCATGGTTAAAAATGATGAGGTGGAAATTGTGGCCTTGGTGAGGTGAATAACCATTACATAATGGGACCATTCACTCTGCCCCAATTATAGAATGAGATTTCAAGATTAATCTAATTTTTTATGCTAATGTAAATCGTTGGACAGGTTTCTCTATTTTATGATAGTAAAGCAAGGTCAAGCTCTCTATCCATGTCCAAGTAGGTCTTGCATTGTCTTGGATTCTCTAAATGTTTTCTGTTTAGTGATTTGTTGCATCAGAGTTATATTGTTGCATTGTTACTAGCAGTCCTAGTATGCTCTTGTATCATTTTAAATATTATTTGTGTTCGGGTTTGGGTAGATGATTGCAAGTAAAATTAGGATTTTAAAACTGTGATTCTCATAAAAGTACATTAGTGTAATGTTATAAATTATAAGTATTTAACATAAACTGGCACCCCACACTTCTTTAGCTCCACCCTAATCCCTCCCATGCTCCTTTCCTCCCAATCCTATTTGACCTTGATGGAAGTCTTCTAAAATCTACAGGGGCTTCACAGTATGTCTGTCAGAATTCCTGAGAGGTTGGAGAAAATAAGATATAATTATATGATTGTAGTATATGAACTCAAATCTAAAGCCTGATATTGTTAAATGCATGGGGAAAACATTTTTGAAGCTTTAGAATTTTGAACTTAAAAATCAAAGGAATATTATAATGGAGAGAAAATTAGAATGTGTGTGCATGTGTACAGTATATATGCAGGAGGTCCCCATTATATGTTGTACTGATATTCGTCATTTCACATATACGCCACTAACAAATATAGGAGTAACTTTTCATTTTACTGTAAGTCATTTGTTTCACATATATACTGTACTTTGTCAGTATTGTCCAATGTTTTATACTAAGTCTGTGTGTATCTGAATATGATGCGTAAATAGTGTTAAAAACATCTAATATAATGTCAAAATAATTATAATAAGCAATATAAGTGCCCTACAAGTGTTAAGTTTCTACCATGCCAAGGTATGTCATTCACCTCTCACACAACTGTGCGCTATGCCATTGTTATATGTAAGTAACAACAGAATTTGCAAAGAAGTGCCTTATGAATAAAGAAAATACTAAATGTTTTACACCCACTAAAAAATTATTCGGCACCCTTACGGTGTGATACAATATGACACAGGTGCCGAATAATTTTTAGTTGGTGTACAGTAATATAAAAATATAAAAGAAAAATAAAGAGAGTGCGGGTGTTAGGAGGTAGGAACACCACCTCTATACTTCTGGGACAATGCATTTATGGAACCAATCCAGGAATGCTTGCACAGTTACCCATGCATTTTTGTTAGACTGCCAAAAAACTGGCAAAAAGTTCCTTATTTTTCCCTTTAAAGCCCTTGGGTTTGCTGAGCGGTAAAGCAAACCAGGCTTGATCATGTGGCCAGCTGCATTGCCACAGAAGATGAGCGTCACTGTCCTTGGCTGCCTTGAACCCAGAGGCATGCCTCTCCTGCTTGTTTATGTACGTTCTACCAGGCATTTTCTTCCGATATAAATCAGATTCATCGGCATTAAACACTTGCTGTGGTCTGTAGCTTTTCTCTTCTGTTACTTTCTTTAACTTGGCGGGAAATGCATCTGCGGCTGTGTGGTCAACTGATGCGGCCTCCCCAATCAGCTTCACATTATGGAGCGAGAATCTTTTTCTTAAAATTCTCGAACCAACCTTTACTGGCATTAAAAGTTGGTTCAGTCGCTGCACTAGCTCCTTCACCAACTGTTGACTCGTAAAAATGAGCATGAAGACTTTTAGCCTTTTCACGAATCACGTTGCTGTTGATCGGAACATCTTTGCGGTGCTGGTCCTCAACCCAAATGTTCAGTGCTTTCTCAGTTTTCACTATGTTCCTGTCATGAACAACCTGTGCCACTTTAGCACTTGCAGGAGCACTCTCTTGAACAGTATCAAGAATTGCTTGTTAATTTTTCTTGATATACCGCACTGTGGATTCATTCACACCAAATAACTAACCAACCGCGGCAGCACTAATCCCTTCCTTTAACTTGTCTAATATTTCAACCTTCTTTGCCAGGGTCATCACTGAATTTTGCCTTTTATGTTTCACTCCACTAGCATCACAAGCACTGACACTAGGCAGTCTTTCCGGGGCCATTTTCACAAAGAAACACAAAAGTTTTGAGAATATGACACAAGATGCTAGGTTATGGGTACTGGGTGAGGGCAAACAGAGGGAGATGAGATGCCAGGGGCGCGTGGGGGTGACTCATTGCCCTGCGGGAAAAGGCTCACGTGCTAGCCACCCGAGCCACCAGCTGCTTACCGCAAATCTTTCAAATCGCGAATCGCAAACCCGAGAATGGAAAGGGTCTACTGTTACTGTAAGTTTCAAGTATAACCTCGTTTGTATCATTGGGGACTCCTTGTATATGAAATTTATTTGTTTATATTAAAATATGTTGTTATTAAATAAGAAATACAAAGAGCACGGATATGTTTGTGTGTGAAGTGAACCATAGGTGGATTGGGCACTGTTTGGGTACCGCGCCATTTCATTATGAGTTGAGCCCATTCCACTCCACTAGTATTGATAGTTGGGGCACATTCCACCCCACTAGCAATGAGAGTTATGTATTAGGTGTTGTGGGTGTAATGTGAAGGATAGTGTAGTGGATGTTGTGTAGAGGATAGTACAATACTGTACAGGTATAGGGCAGTGGTTGTGGACCTTTTTCGGTTAGTCTACCCCTTATAGAACCTTTGTTTGTTAAAGTATATAATTTATAATTTTAATCTAATATTTTAATTTAATAGAAAAAAGTAAATCAACACTAAGTATAAAGAATACTGTCTTCAAGCATTTTGTGGTAAGTGCTGTGCACCATTATAAACATATAATATTGACAGCCAGTCTTGAGAAATACTTTTGAATAGTTTTGACTTGAATTCTGCTTTAATCATATTATCCATAGAAATTGCCTTTTTTTTATTTAAAAAGGATATCAACTCCATTGTTACATGTTTTTGTCAGTATATTCTATTTCAATTGGTATATGTTAAACTAATACTGAATGACAAGCAAGGAAATTAGTGAATGACGCACAATACAGGGGATGAAGGTGAACACGTGAGCAGGTACAGTATATGGCTTCACTCCCTTGAGCTGATGTGGCTTTCTCATGACAGCTGCAGTTCTTCTTTGGACTTGTTATGGAGACAACGAGAACCTGACTTATTCTTCAAGTTTTAGATAGAATAAAGCAGTAACCATCTGTTATAGGATCTCTTGGGTGACAAAGACAATCACTGAAGAAAATTTTTTTTATACATTTTCTAAGCAAGATTAATCAAGCGAGAAAATTTAAAAGTGACAGAAAAATCATATACAGTGGAGTCTGCATTTACTCGGCTTTTGTTTACTCGTTTGGTCATTTACGTGGTGCCTTGCCAGAATGAAATGCTTTAATTACGCGGTAAATTTGGTCATTTACGCGGGTGAAGTATAATTTGTTTACTGTATTTACTGAAGATATTTGTTTTAGCTCATAAAATTCATACAAATTACCCGGCCAGAATATAATTTACATTGTTGGAATTCTTATAAGATTGTGATTATTTTAAATATAAACATCATAAAATTTGCATTAGACATACAAATTTTAGATCTTATGTGAGAATTTTGATTAGAAAGAGCAAAAATTTTATCTTGTGCAAAATATGTGACATTTATATTCAAAATATTCCTTGTCTTGCAAGGAATCCAGCAATGTCAATTATATTATCCTAACTTTAGTCTGAGGTATTATTTATTACTAAATTTATAAGCCTACTGTTTTCACCCAAACATTTCTCAGAGAGGGAGGAGCCAGCGAGCGTGGGAAGAAGGGGGGGGGGTTGAGTCCATTATTTGAATGGACATTAACCGGCGACTGTATTTCTCTTAAATATTAAGTGTGTGTGTATACCATCATAAAATTAAGATGTTATTTTTACTACAACGTAGGTATTGTGTCGGAAAAAGTGGAGTTTGGGGGTCGGCCCAGTCTCTATTTCAATTAATCTCATATGTTCTCTTATTTCATTTACGCGGGCCTCCATGGGTTCAATTGACCGCGTAATTGCAGACTCCACTGTAGCTACAGTATGTATAAGATGCAAAGCATGGAAATAGTAACTGTGAACTTTGAACCTGAGAAGCCAATGTTTACTGAAGCAGTTTTTCCCGATCCGGAAGTTAGAAGTATATTTGCCGACCGTGAGGAAGAGGTTAGGAATCAAAGACGGGAAGCTAGGAGGCAGAATGGTCATGCTCAAAACCGAGTTATTAACTCAGCATCTGGTAACTCAAGCAACAGACAGCAAGGGGAGGGGCAATCAGGCCCTATGAATTCCAATCAAAATACTGCCACAAGCAATGTAAATTCTGGTGAAATTAGACGTGTACGCTTTCGTGGAACAGAAGATGATTGGTTTGTAGTTTCATTCCCCAGAGATGATAATGAAGAAGAGCCAGTATCTAATCACCCACAACAGATTGTGCAGTCCACTGTACATCTTGCAGTCCCTTTGGCTAACTCGCAGTATCGTAATGGCCGAGCTGCTAATCAACAGGAGCGCACTCTCCCTCAAGCTAACCAACATCGTCATCACCCAGACGAAGAGGAAGAAGAATGGTGGTTAAGCCCAGAGCCATCTCCATTAAATTCCCCAAACCTGAGCCCAATTAACTCGCCTGTAATTCAACGAATTAGTAAGAAATGGAAGAACAAATCAGTCGCTCAGCCAAGTGGTTGCAACACATGCAGAGGAGATTTGGCCATTCTCTCCTACCACCGTCCTCGGTTAAGAGAAGCACTGTTTTTACAGGTTAAAATATCATTGTTTAGTCATGCCTTTTTTGTCATGTTGTTGATGTCTGTACTAAGATGTAATGATTGGCAACAAGGGAAATGAAAGAACGTGGGTTTCTTTTTGTCTTTCCTGTAAACCAATGATTATAAGAAGTCTGTCCCAAAGCAAAGTTTTATGCATATTTTTTCAACTGATTCTGTCTTTTGTGGACAGCAGGAAAGCCAATGCATTTCCCCTTAAAATTCCACAGCCTTTCTGTGTACTGTACAGTACAGAGTAATTAGTCTTTATTCTTTCCATCATATTAAAATCTGTTGTAGTGTCCATTTTTCACTATGTTTCACATGCCTCTAGTAGCTCAGTACACACTACATTATCCTTCTCCTCTTGTTATAAACTCGCTTCAGCTTCCTCCTTCTTTTGTAGTTGTTTCATGATGAAATAAAGTAGCTTCAGTGACCATATCCTTAAGGTACCATTCATTACACTGTATCTCAATTTCTATATTCAACAACAACTTTTGAAAATTAAGAAATTATCTTTTCTTATTTTTTTTTGTGTTCTCTTACAGTTTCCTCCATTACCTTCTTAAAACATGTTTCCAAGTAAACCTTGCCTGTGCTCTGCAGGGTTACATTCTCAGAAACACAGTACTGTACACTACAGGTATCCCTCGTTTAACGAAGTATTCCTGATAAAGCTAACGTTAAGCTAAATTATCACTAAACAAGAGATAATGAGGAATAATATCTGTGGTGATGGGCTGTTGTCATTGTTATATGTATTGAAGCTATAAAAGTTCTGGAATAATCATTACTGTACAATATTCTAATGTGGCTCAGAAATAATGAAAATATAATACAGTATAAAGATAGAGCATGGGAGTGTGGAGTGAACATATGTGTTGATGTGGCATGTAGCCAAATTATATTGTCACTGTAGCAACATCCCCCAAGCCCTCCCCCTACCATACCAAGCTCTGAGCTGTGTTATTGTTATTTTTCAACTCGTAATTTGGGGTAGATGCAGTATATGTAATTTAGTTATTTTTTTATTATTATTATTTTTTTTTACCTTTTACAAGCACACAATCATTCATACAGAATGTGCAAAAAAGAATATCGTAAGGTTAAAAACATAGAGGTAATAAACATTTCTTACGTGCACAGGAGTTAGCCTTGGGGATCTCAGCTATTCATCTGTTCTGTGAGTAGTGAAGCAATTGCCAAATTGCAACACAGTATTTTTTCTTTTATTTTATTTGCTTTTTCTTATTTATTCCTCACATTTACTGGTACAATATACACGTGACACAGTTCAGTCGGGCAGTCATCCAGCTAACTCATGTGTGGCTGCTGCATTACATTGGGGGGAGGGAGAGTGCGGCTGGTAGCAGTTACAGCTCACTGCCTCAATACGGTACAAATGTTCACTTCCCACATGCACCCGGTACACACTCAAGCTCTTCAATTTTTTTTATTTTATAATTTTATGTTACAAGTACTGTACATTTTCTTTATTTCTAAGCCACATTAATATTTTGTGAATGATTTTTACACAACTTTTATAGTTTCATAACAAAGGCAGCATGTCATCTCACAGGCCATCTCATTCACGGTTTTTCCCCCATAAAATTTTGACCAATTGTTAAACAAGAAAGTGTTAAAAATTTATATTGCTATACCAAAATATCGTTAAATGAATTAATATTAAACAAGGGATTTGTATCTGTACACTATGGACAGAAGTATTAATTCACTAGGAACAGGAAGGTTATGTTGAAGGCCCTTCCTTGAACCAATATCAACCCCCATCAGATCCATCGCTTTATGAAAAAAAATACAATTGTTCTAAGTTATATCACCAAAGGCTTCATTTTTATCCATTATGTTATAGGTCACTGAATTTATTTAAATGCCATATAAAGATGTTTATATATCAACTAAAAAAGGGGAAAGGCAGTATTATGTCTATAATAATTATCTTTATTGTAGCTATCTCGCCAACATTTTCTCACGAGTCAAATTCTCAATCCCAGCAGCACAAACCTCCAGTGCAACCCCTGTGATATCAAACTATTGTACTGTACTCTGTTTGTAGAAGAATAATAATTTTAAAAAGTTAATCATGCACGTGAACCATGCCCTTGTCAAACATTGCAAATAAAATTCAAGTAAAGCAAAGGTGAAGAGTATTGTGTTCTTTTACAGTGTATTTGTGCAGCACAAGGCATTTGATATCTCTTTTGCTGGCTACACTTACCTCTGGAAATTTGCCCTGCACTTTTATACCATACTTATTTCTAGTACAGTACAGTGCTATTTTCAACAGTACCTCAACAACTTGCATACTTTTGATACTATATAAAATTCATATTACATTCTGCAGTTTGAGAATATTGTTACCAATTTCTTTTACATCCCATTATTTGTCAAATATGTCTAGCTCTTGACCTATTCTTTTTCTGAGCAAAGCTTTTCTCAAGTTCTCTTGCACTCAATTTTATGGCATAATACACCAATCATACTTATTATCTACTGCCTGAAACCCATTGTATAAATGCTTCTAGTAAAACTGTTATAGTGTAAATCTCAGTACTATATGTTATATCCTGGGCCCTTTAAACACAAAAGAGAGACTTTGTGGCTACCTTGGAGTGCAGTCTATAATATGCCAGATCTCACTGATGTTGCCAAATGTGCGTCTTGCGTGCCTAGCATTCATACGCAAGCATAAGTTTATTTAATTTAAATTTTTTACTTCATATACAAATTTGCACACAAAAACTCTAAAGCAATAATTTAAATCATGTGCAGTTTTGCGTAAAACCCCAAGAGTGTTAATATGTACTCTGGTTATCAGTACTGTACAGTATGTAGTGCAGTTCAAATCTGGTTATGATTTTTATAGGTTGAAGAAGAATTTGGTATATAAAATCCATAAGTCTTGTAGTGTGCCATATGTACAGTATTGTGATGACTGAACTAATAAGATATTTATACTACTTTCTCAGCCTCAAACTCCAACTCCTACTGGGACTGATGAAACTCTGCCTCGTGGATGGACCAGCCAGGTGGCTCCTAATGGTCGTGTCTTCTTCATTGGTGAGTATATTGAAGTGTTTCATACAGAACCATGGAATGCCAAAAGGGAGAAACATTAGAACACAGTAATATGTACAGATTATTTGCATTACCAAGAAGAAATGAAATTGTTAAAATATTAGATGTACTGTAAATTCTTGTACAGCTTTTCCATAATAAATACATTCCTGGAGCTTCCTGTAGTCGTTTATATATGCAGTACATTTATAAACTACTGTACAGAACAAAGAGTAAAATTAGAAAAAGAATGTGTGGTTGTGGGGCAACTAGTAAAGCTTATACCTCTTCAGTTTTACATATTATTGTACAGTTGTTGGTATATAACAACTATAATACCATATTTATCAGTTAAAAACTGCAATACTGGATGATCTCGGGAGTTTCTGGATTGTAACCTCTAATTTTGCATTGTGTATTTTATTTACAGTATATTTGCACTTTTGGCAGTTATGCAGCCCCCTTTATCACTGTAACCTTAAGTACTATGGTTCACTGTAATAAGGAGTTGACATCTTTTTGTTATAGATCACATTAACAAGCAAACAACGTGGATAGACCCCCGTTCTGGCATGCCAAGTTCCCCACCCAACCAGCGTCACACAAACAACTGGAGACATGAGGATGAGTTGGGACCTCTACCCGAGGGCTGGGAACAGCGCGTACATACTGATGGCCGTATATTCTTCATTGATCATAGTAAGTCTCTCAAACTTAAGTTTTTTTTTTTAAGTCTTTATGAAAATTAATTCTAAGTAATTAATAGTGTTTGTTTATTATATTATTTTGGTATTTTAGATACCTTTAATCTTTTATTATATAGAGAACCGCACAACGACATGGGAAGATCCACGATTACTCAATCCAGCCATCGCAGGCAAAGCCATACCTTACTCTCGAGACTACAAGCAAAAATACGAATTCTTCAAGAACAGACTACCAAAACCAGTAAGTGCGTTTACGTTTTTAACATGTATACAGTCGACCCTCGTTAATTCGGACTAATAGGGGGGGAGGGTGTCCGTTTTAGCCGATTGTCCGAATTAACCGATTTACTGGTTAATATCGCATTATATTTCAAAGTCGTTGTTTTCGTCACGATTTTATCCCACTTTCCACTGTAATACGTAAGTAATTTCAGCAAAAATATTACATTTCCGTGAATGTATTATATCAAGCACAGTATGAATAGAATATCATTGTAATATAACAGTATTTTAACCGAAAACTAGTAAAAAAACGAATAACATCTCAAGAACATCGAAAGCTTAGGTAAAGTCTTTTGTTTTCGTCATTTATTTTATGCTAATTTACATTGAAATACATCACGTTTCAGCAGAACTACTATTTATTTCCGAGAATATATTCATTCAGGCGCAGTTTAGGTAAAATATACGTGTGATGTAACAGTTTTTAACTAAAAACGATTCGAAAAACACGTACCCTCTAGCCCTGTTCAAGGAGAGGACTGGGAGAAGCTGTTTGGTGCTGCAGACGATGACAAGGAAAATGATTTGGATGGATTTTAATAAAAATATTCAGAAATATGGTATCGTAGTATTTATTCAAGTCAATTAGGATAGAGTTTTATTGTATTACAACGGTTTTTTAACTGAAAACCAATCGAAAAGCGATTACTGTAACATCTTTTGAACGAACGAAAGCGAAAGTCATTGTTTTCGTCATGATTTTTATCGCACTTTCCACTGTAATACGTATGTAATTTCAGCAAAAATATTACATTTCCGTGAATGTATTATATCAAGTACAGTATGAATAGAATACCATTGTAATATAACAGTATTTTAACCAAAAACTATTAAAAAAAAACGAGTAACTTCTCTTGAACATCGGAAGGTTAGGTAAAATCTTTTGTTTTCGTCATGTATTTTATCCTATTTTACATTAAAATACATCACGTTTCAGCAAAACTACTATTTATTTCCGAGAATATATTCATTCAGGCGCAGTTTAGGTAAAATATACGTGTGATGTAACAGTTTTTTAACTGAAAACGATTCGAAAAACACGTGTACCGTCTAGCTGATTGATACTCAACAGCTGGTGGTGCGTCATGCGTCGTTGTAAACAATAGGAGGTTGAAGTAGATTACCGGGTATTATATTACGTGTGAAATATCGAAAAGGTTTTTATTACCGGTATTTTTTGTAGATCAATGAGTACTGTGATACCGTATATGATATGATAAGTTAGCCTATGCTAAAAACTTCAACATAGACTACTGAAAACACGTTGTAAGGTAATTTAGCCTATTGTAAGTTGGTGAGCTTCATTTGCTGAAGGAACTGCACAACTTTTCATTACTAATTGGTACATATTTTACGTTTTCATTGTTTACTGGCAGTAAATGGTAAATATTTTTCATGTCTGAAGCTAAAAGTTGCACCCTCCCTCCCATACTAGTGGTGGAGATGTTACATTTAACCAAAAAGATGCTGGTGTTTTATCCCAGCATTTTAGCTTAAGGTCCGCGTAGGTAATATTCCTAAAAAAAAAAAAAAAAAAAAAAGTTCGTTCAGATTTTGTCCGAATTATCCGAAATCCAGATTAAAGGGGTCCGAATTGACGAGGGTCGACTGTACTGTACATTTTGACTCCTTGACATTGACAGAAAGCGTATAAGAGAATACTTTATTATAACTCGGTAAATCTATCTATCTAAATTAAGGAATCAGTGCCTTTTCAGAATTGAAAGTACTGTATGTACTGTACAATAATTCCAAGATTTGACCTTGAGTTTGTGAGTTTGACTACCTTATATTCTGTGTGCTACTGTCATCCATAAGGAGGACAAGTCACCTGTTCATTCTACAACCATACAGACTTTAATGTAATACTGTAGATTGCTTTATATAAGTTGGGTTAGCAAATTAGCAGTCCTACAGTGTCAGCGACAGCAGCGTACGTTATCGATTATTGTTATGGGTGGAGGAGACGTTCTTGTTCCGCCTGACGATGCTGGGCCTGTTGAGGAGCCTGCAGTGGCTGTTTAATACTTTCTGTACAGTAAACAAAGATTATAAAGTGTATGTTGAAACTTGAATGTAAACTAATGTTTAATTTCAATTGTTCATTTAATTATTTGTGTACACCTTGATCATCATCTGATCTTGGCATACCTTTTTGGAAAGCTCTATGTCTAAGCTACAAGACAGCATATGAAAATTTCAGCTCTCTAGGTCTGTTTTTAAGGGTTTTAGAGCCCCCCAAAAAAAAAAACCGAATGCAGTAAAGTACACTTACTTTGAGGTGTGCATGTAGAAGGCTCCTGGTTGATGATGATGATGATGATGGGAATTAGAAGTTGGGGTGGAAGAGAAGTCACTCCTTGCTTCATGCTGCCATTTCACCCATAAAATTTTAGTTCACTTGGTGTAATTCAAGAGTATTTTCTTTAAATCAACACTGCACTGCATTATATATTGTCAATATGTAAAATAAACCTCAGAATGACCAATAATTGTACTGTAAAAATGTAAAAATAGCTTATGTTCAAAAGAGTCTCAAGCAAGATGCTTCCTTCTTCCACTGAGCAGGGACACAAACTGATGCCTTTCTGGGTGAGTCAAGTGGCTGTTTGGCACCCTAAAAATTTTAATATAAGACTTGGAAAATCATTGAATAGTACAACCTTCTTGATATTTACCCAAACGGTAACGAATTTAAGCCCTAAAACCGATTACTGTATTGGCGGACTAATACTACAGCTGGTGAGCAGGCAAAAGCAGACGAAGACATGTTGGGAAAAATTCGTAAGGAATTCGTCACCCGAATTGAATATTCTTATGGAAGGTAATTCTTTAACCGTGGGATCACTGTATATTTATTTTGTTCATCGATTTTTAATTTGACAAAGTGCAGCCTGAATTTGGTCACTGGTGTCGGAGGTACAGTACACATAAACACAACTGCAATTAGCATTACATTATTTGCTGAAGTAATCATTGTTGTGAAAAAAATATTATTTATATATAGAAACCATTGATAAAAATACTGTACAGCTAAGGTTATTGCCAGTGGCTTACACAATTGATCATAATTCAGAATTTGCTTTATTTAGGTAAAGGTAGAGCCCCTATTATTCCAAATCATTGAGGATGTGGTATATCTATTAACCCTTTCTCATGTTGTTATTATGGTCATTCATCAACCTGTAAATAACCATATTTTCCCTTGCAGACAAATGTTCCCAACAAATTTGATATCAAGGTGAAGCGAAACAATATCCTGGAGGACTCCTTTGCCATTGTTAGTCAAGTGTCTCGTGTGGATCTGTTACGAACTAAGCTGTGGATAGAGTTTGAAGGAGAGGTAGGTGCTTTTACTCTATTGTTGGTATTTCACATTAAGTATTGACATATACAGTACTATTTTAATTTGCATATATATATGGAGATACAAAAAAATAAATCCATGTACAGTACACTAGTTCTTAAGTGATATCTGCCATTTTTTCTATGCAGGTTGGTCTGGATTATGGTGGAGTTGCTCGTGAGTTCTTCTTCCTATTATCAAAAGAGATGTTCAATCCATATTATGGCCTCTTTGAATACTCTGCCACGTAAGTTATAGAGAATATGTTTTTTTATTTCATGTACAGCATGCTCTTACAATTCACGGATTTTTAATTCGCGCCCTTCGATTATTTGCTGGTAGTTTTAAAGTTGCCGGCATGTTTGCGGCCAGGATGGGGAGTGCGCAATTTTTGTGGCTTCCCAAAAGTTGTCTCTCTTGTCCCGGGAGGCTGGCCCACGTGTGCTCATTCTGCCTCAGTCTGGGATAAACACTTGTCCGTCTCATACGTGTCCTACTCTGATCTGTAACAAACTGTGTTCCTCGTGCATGTGATGGCTCCCAAGCGCTCTCAACCACCTTCATCCAGCCATAGGAAAGTGCCCAAACAAGTGAAGAGAGAAAAGAAGGTCATGACTCTTGGAGAAGAAACAACTGCTGGACAAACTTAGGAGTGACCAGCAAGAGCAGTTATTGTGTCGACTGCTCTTTTAACTCTCCTCTCTCCTTGCCATATTTCACTGGATTTACTGTTTTTATTCGTGTTTACTGATGGAATAATGCTTAATAGTGATTAATCATGGCATTATAGCTAAGTTCAACTCATCATTGTAACCACGAGGCTACCAGGCCAAGCTCTGAGGTGTTATGGTTGTATTTCAACTCGTATTTTTCGGTAGATATACATAACTGTCTTCATTTACTTTTACTCAAGTTACATGCACACACCATCCTACATACATATCCTTAAAAAAAAAAGTAAATAAATAATTGTCGTAAGAGCAAACATGTAAAGAGAATATAAATTTTTTTGCACACGAGTTAACAGGCTGGTTCAGTGGGGGAGCGGGAGACGAGACGTATTTGGGGGGGGGGTATTTGCTCGGGAATCGGCATCCTAGCTGTCTTCGTTACTATGGGGTAGCAGGGAGTGTATGCAAATGGCAACTTGTGTTAAACTTTCATTTGGCTTTTATTTACTGGTTTGGCAATACAGTATTTTTTTTGTAACTTTTTTATCGGTATTTTTATCTATTCCTCACATTTACTGGTACTGTATGTATTATTTAAAGAAAACTATGGCTACAGGAGGAAAGTACACACAAAAAAGTTTTTTCCTAAATACTCAAGGTTAAAATGGGGGATGCGTCTTACATGGCCATTCATCTTCTGTGCTGTAAAGCACGGTACTGTATTTTTGGTGTTGTTTATATCATTATTTATTGTTTCTATACATTTAGTACACCGGCTGGAAGATACGGACAATCGGCTTTTTAGGACGGGTGCTCCCCCCCTTTAGTTTGGATCTTTGAGGGTTCATTATACTGTACAGTACTTAAAGTAATGTAAAAAAAAATAAATAAATAAATAAATAAATCTGATTTTTTATGTATGTACATACACAAAAATGCCCCCCCCCCCCTTCCGTTAGCAAATGATATTCACGGATATGGCAATTCGTGGCCATTTTGAGACCCAAACCCCTGCAAATTTTAAGAGCATGCTTTACTGTAGACCCTCAATATATAGCAAGAATGGGAGCCGAGAGATTACCATAAAATAGAGAATCACGATATATAGGGTACGGCATGGTAGCCCCCCAAAAAATTCTTTAAGACATTACTTTTTCTCATGTCATCACTACCACTATTGTTGTGTAATATGGTTGCCATAAGGTATTGTAAATTGGTATTCTTAGTATCACACTTTCCTGTTCCTCTCCAGATCAGATGTAAACAGTACTCCTAGAATATTTTAATCTACATTTAATTAACAAAAGAATACAGTAGTTGGTTGAACAAATAGTTAATTTTATTTTATCTTTATTTTTTACAGAGACAACTACACATTACAGATCAACCCATACTCTGGGATGTGTAATGAAGAGCACTTACGGTACTTCAAGTTTATTGGTCGTGTGGCAGGTATGGCTGTTTACCATGGAAAATTGCTTGATGGTGAGTTAAAGTTGTATTAACTGGTCTATCAGTGCCCCCCCCCCCCCATTTCTTACTTGTAACCAGAAAAATTGGTCCTGTAGACAATCTGTTTACTTCTGGGTATGATTCAGGATCACCACAAGTCCTACTTGAGCATGTGTAGTAATATTATAACTGAGGGTATGTAAATTAACTTCAAATGCCTTTTAGTACCCAGTATATCTTTTCTAATTTTAATATTTGATAATGTTCATTTGACTGTTTTGTTTTCTTTAAATTTGGTATGGTGTAGCCTAATGCTAAGGGAACAAGACTTGAAAATTTTTATTACCTCCTCCCACATATTATTAAATTATTCTTGACAAACGTTTGTAAACTAGATTTGGACCTCAACTACTGGCTGTGCTGGACATTGTTGAGCATTGAAAATATATGCCAGGTAAAATAAAGCATAATGGACAATCCACATGTGTAAGCTGTCATGGTTGCCAAGGACAGACAGAAGTGGGCAGAGCTTAGCCATTAAGGCTTGAGCCTATAAAAGTTATTAGGTATCATATGTTATGACTACAACAAAAGCCCCATAATTTGTACCCTTCAAATTTGAAATCAATCATAATTTGTAATGTACAGGTATTACTGTTAAAAATTTTATTTTTAAAATTTCGTAATATTCTACTTGGCAAAATTTTGAAATATGAGAGACATATAGAAGTTACACCTCGATAAATCGGACTTCAATATAGTACCGGAATTCGCTTTTTTCGGACTCTGAGATGCTCTGGTTACCAGAAATACTAAAGAAAAAAATGGGAAGATTAAATGAAAAAAAATGAACAGCTCTTACTGAACACTGTACAGTGGTCTAATCAGATTTGCTATAGGCCTACTGAGAACTAAGTCACTTGAGTATGTAAGCAGGCTGGGGCTGATCAGGTGTTGCTGTATTCGTCAGGTTTATTTATTTATTTATTCAGTATTATATTCTCATATGATTGGCCTTTTATGGATTATGGCTCATCAAGATTAATATAACATCTTCAGTAATAGAGAAAAAATACAACACTGTATGTAATTTTTAATATGACTTGAAAATAAAAGGATAAGCTGTATCAGAAGGCTGTTTACTCAGATGCATTCGTGTAAGCTTTCAGTAGATCAGCTTACAACAGGGGTCACTATAACACTCTGTATAGTATTTGATATGAAGATGCCCTTCTAAAAAACGTTATTTACTCCCTTTGAGTGTTATATGATGGCTCAGTTTGGCTACTTGTAGACTTAGACAAATGATTAATGAATATGCCAGGGGATATGCAGTTACTCTGTATATAATACTTTACACATCAATATTACTTATTAAGTGATGATAAATACACTAGTACAATAATATTTATTAAGTGGTGATAAATACACTGCAATAATATTTATTAAGTGATGATAAATACACAACTGTACTGTACTAATTTACTAAGTATTGAAGACAGACATTGTGGTAAGCCGATCAGCTGTTTGCTCGTAATATTTGGTAAAATTTGGGATTATGAGCCATTTACGAATACTGTATGTATGACGCATGTGTCTCCATGGGATGTGACTGCCTGGTCCGTCTCAGCGTAAACAAATACTTTTTGCATCGCTCGTGTCAGTCAGTTAACGTTGGTCAGTCTTGGAGTACGCACCTACGGTTTACCGCACGAGCTTTTTCCAGTGTTTGAGGCATTATGTCTGGTTATCCTTGACCAAGCACCTCAAAAGGTACAGCATTTAGAAATGTTCAAATTTAGTTTGGGGCAAATAATGGAAATGTACAGTACTATTGTTTTTCCCTCGGGAGGTGTCCCTCATATTTCATAAAACCTCATACTGTAATTTGTAAGGGCTTGAACCCCTATTAATTCGAATTATGGAAGTTTTACTGTACTGTGAAATTATTTACACTTGATTAACTTTTCATGTGTATTTTTATGTGAATTGAATATAAAATTCTTATACTTTTTCACAGCCTTTTTCATCCGGCCATTTTATAAGATGATGTTGTCAAAACCCATTGAACTAAAGGACATGGAAAGTGTTGACTCAGAGTACTACAATTCTCTCCTCTGGATTCAAGTAAGTGTTGGTGTACTGTTTTAGGAAATATATTTAATACTCAGATGAACTGGCAATTTATATGTTTGAACGTCAGTTAGACAGTAACCTCACCGTTAGCCGGAGTCCCCGTAGCTCTCCAATAACTGGAATTGATTTTGAGCCAGAAAAATGCTGGGAAAACTCCCTCTATTCTGGGAATCAATCAATCAGGTTCCATTCCGGGCATGGGAACAAGTTTCCTGCTGAAATACTAGTGCATTTTATATGCCGTAAAATACAGTAAGTCTTCTATTCTTGGTTTATAATTATAATTTTGTTTGATTATGTGCCATGATAAAATGGTAAAATTGCAGCAAAACAGTACGGTATAAACTATGGAACACATCAATCTTTATATTTAAATAGCTGGCCTTCTTATGAGAAATTTGGTAACACAAATGTTGAGATTAAAAATTTCTGAAAATAGCTACAGTGATATCTCTGTTAGCCGGAACAATTGGTGCAGAGCACTTCCGGGAATGAGAGTTTTCTGGGTAACAAGATGACTCTCAAAGCCGGAAAAAAATCCCTCATCCCATGAATTTTCTGGGTGATGGAAAAATGTTCTCAGAAGTGCCAGAAATTGCCCATTACATCATCTCTTGAACCCAGAAAAATATTCCCCATCCCTGGAATTTTCCGGGTATCGGGAAAATTTTTTCAGAATTTCTCGGAAAATGTGCCCCCCGGAAAATCGTTTCCAAGGCCACAATTTTCCGAGAAAATTTAAATTCCGGCTGTCGGAGAGTTCCGGGTTTGAGGGATTCCGGCGAACAGAGATATGACTAAAGTTATCATAATTTGCAAATTATGGAGTTTACTGCATATCAAAGAGAACTACTGTATTAGAAAAAATTATGAATTTTTATAATTTCAATGTACAGTACAGGCAGTCACCGACTAAAGAACACCAGTACAATACTGTACTTATGAACAGAAACCCAGTATATTCATTACAAAAATCTGTTTTGTAATTAAAATTTAATTTTTTGCATTTAACATCACTCTATTTACAGTGCAGTATTAATATTATTTATAAGTCCAATTGTAGCTTCAGTAGAAAAAATTTTGAATCTTCATTTATTACTTCTACACCTAACTTTAACCTGGCATATGGTCAGTGGACCCCGGACCTGATCCTGATTACTGTTATCAAGAAGATTATCCCTACTCCCTTCCCTTCCTCATGTGACCTGATTCTCATGTTTTATGTCTTTCTCCCTTGCTTTGTTCTGTTAGTTGGCTGAAGAAGGTTATAGTTTTTGGATTGAAACATACCAGCACCAAGATTTTGTCTTTTATGCAGCTTAGAATTGATATCAAACCTTTTTATATATAAAATATTTCCAAAACTCACTCTGTAGTTTGATCTTCAGGATGGCTTATAATTGTGCAAATATGGTATTATTTATTTGTATTATTCCTTAGCATTAAAGTCACTCCTTACTATTAACTAACCATTGGATGTCACAGCTTCTTTTACCATCTTTACAGTTTCATGACCTCCCGGTAATCATTGGTGCATAAACCTGAATTATTGTCCAGTCATGGATTTAAATTTAAACTTGTCATGCAGAACTCTTATATGACACTTCCCAGTATTCCTTTAAACAAGTACAGTAGGGGGCAGGGAAAAAACACTTTTATTTGAGTTGCAGGCTGCACTTTTCAGGCATCGTTTGTATGGATGTAACAAACACCTGTGCAAAATTTCATGCCATTTCATGCATACTTACCCTGCCGCATCGCGAACGACTTTTTGTCAACTTTTAGTGTATACCAAAAATTAGGTGTCATTTAATGTTTTCCAGGATAATGATAAATTTTACATGGGTGACATCGATTTAATTCACATGTTATTTTACAGGTACACCGTATAGAAAATCATTACAAGTTCATATTGAAATTCTTTTTTGTGCGGAACCTTGGCATCATTTTCCTAGACAATAATCTTTGCCTAATATATCCATCTCTCGATTCGTATCCCGTCACTTCAGTGCAAGCTTCAGTCATCACTTTTATGCCTCTCTCGACCGCCTGAGTGCTGTTTGGCCACTTGGGCACCACTAATGGTGTCTCAAGAATGTCATTAACCTGTAGATTTGACAGAGAAGCAATGTAAGGAGGCTCAGTCTTGAGTTCATTCCTCCAGTTAATCATGGAATGATAGTTTTTTGCTTGCCACTTTAGTTTCGGAGTCACCACCTTTCTCATGTTGACTACAGGAGGCACATCCTCATTCCCATCTCCATCTTTACCCTCCTCATCAGTATAGTTTAACAAATTCTCGTCAACAGCAGCATCAGAATCTTCCTCCTCCTCTTCAGATCTGCCAGTGCATTCTTCCTTTTGCTGATTCTCCTCTCTAATTTTTCTTATCATTGAGACAGCTTTTTCTCTAACAGTCATGTCCTCATCTGCACACATACCAAGAAGAAGTTGATCTGTGTGGGCGAAGTATGCATTTCTCTGGACAGCCTTCTTCACTATCGTCTCCTCCTCACTATTCAGGTGTTTCATATATAGCAGGGACTGGAATACGTTCCTTGAGCCGTGTGTTACGTAAGGGTGTATCTTGATGTAAAACCACATTGGAGCACTGAACTTTATTATTGTAATGACAATTCTTTTCAACTCATGGCTGGGTCTTGATGTTGCTACATACAGCCTGAGGATTCTACTCCATAAGGTGTTCCACCTTGACACACAGGGAGGACCTGGCTCAATAGCAGCCAAGTCATCTTCAACAACACCTGTGATAACTCCTTTACAAATCCTATACAGGTATTTCTGATCCCAGGACAGATCTTTCTCCACTTCATCATTAAACACAGGGAAATCAGGGAAACTGACTGGCTGGAAGGCGACAACTGGAAGCTCAGACAAAGACTCCTTGATCTGCTTTCCAATGGGACCACGCCAATGCTCAGGACCACTTGGTTTACCATCATAGTGATAAAAAACTGCGCGGAAAGGCAGCTCATTTCCGTGAAGCTGACATATGAAATAATGGAGCGGGTGACCAAGTAACATTTCAAGATGATGAATGACTCCATTTTCTGATCCTACATTTACATTGGTTCCATCACAACCAACACACACAATGGGCTGCTGGGTTAGATTTTTCTCCACCAGAAACTCGTGAATAGTTTTGGCAATCTGCTTTCCGTGTCCAGTCTTGGGAGTCACATGTGTGAGATATTCATTGCCAGGCTCAACCATGATGATATAATGATCTTTCACCATCATCCTCGAACTCCATTTCTCGGTCTTCTCATTCTTTATCATCACACGAGTGGCAGTCTTCTTACCATCAAAATAGAGTGACGTCAAATTATCTACACTAGCGCCATCTCAATTTCTTGCCTCTTAAATCGGTATTTTTATCTCGCATCCCGCAGCTTATGTGGTCCAATAACCTGACTCTTGTCATCCTTTGTGATAATGCCATAGTCAGTTAAGGTGGCAGTAGCAATGGCAGCTCCAGCATAATCACTAATCAAGTATCGGTCACAAGCGGCAGCCAGTGTAGGGAGTCTTGTCCGGTAACACAACATTGAGAAATGAAATGAGAAAAGGCTGATAATCAATATAGACATAGCACCATACTCATCTGCAACAAGACAACTTAAATGAAATAAGAGATATGAAAAAAAAGTTGATAAACACTGAACAGAACATTGCACCGCCACAGCGGCTGTTTGGCTAGTACTGTAGGTAAATTTTAAAATTTCAGTAGAAAATGCGGCAGACTAAACCTCGACATATCAGCTTCAAATTTGGCATGGAGTCTTAGATATGTATAAGGAACAATGCCTGAAGAGTGCAGCTTTGAGCAAAATTTCACTGCCCCCTAAAGTACAGTACTGTACCCAAATTCTGTAAAGCATTTTTGTTTGCTTTTGCTGTATTAGCTATCGATTGTTCCTCTGCAAGTCTACTTTCAAAATTCATATTATGTTCTCACAAACCACATTCCAGGCTCCTGATTTGAGTTTATGGACACTTAATGTTTCTGGAATTTTATATAATGTCTAAGGTTTTGTTTTGTACATACAATAACCTTAGAACCTTATAAAGTAAGTTAAACCAATCAGACTTTTCCTTTATATTTAACTGTTTGATGTTCACTGTATCACTTTATTTAACCAAATTTTCTGTTGCAGGAAAATGATCCAGCAGACTTAGCCTTAACCTTCAGTGTTGATGAAGAGTCTTTTGGCAGAACTTCTTCCCACAACTTGAAAGAAAATGGAGGAGACATTCCAGTCACTAATGAGAATAAGAATGAATACATTGAGTGAGTGTTAATTAATTTAAGTTGTGCTGTACAGTGAAGAACTGGGAAATAATATAATTATGAAATCAGTGTACAGTAAAGGCATCCCTTATATACAGCAGCTAATGCCCTTTCCCAGAGGAATGCCACACTGTACAGTGCATGTGATTTGGGTGGGTGGGAGGTGCATTTCCTACCCAAAAAAAATTCTGAACATAGAATCTTTTTTAAATTGTGTTTTATGTATTGTATAACTTTAATACTCAAACATTAAGAAAAGTATATAAAATATTAAATAAGGTTTAAAGTGACAGCATACTGTACTCACTGATTTATTTTTTTAATACAATACACATTACAGTGCTGGTAAAGTTAGGACGTTTGTCTTCAAACATCCTTCTGGTATGCACATTAAATGCAGCTAAGCCCATTGAAATAGCAATATCATCTACATGATCACCTTGCTCGAGATGCCTAAGCATATTTAATTTCACTTCTAAAGTACAGTCATAGACATTGTTTTACCAACAGTATTATTTTTTATGGGAATGTGTTTTAGATGACTACCAACCAAAGTCCATCTTTACAGATTAGTTATCAATTGGCGCTTTGTCCAGCGAATCCATAACCAAATGGAGGCATTCCGAGAGGGCTTCAGTGATGTAGTGCCAATCTCTCACATCAAGATCTTTGATGAGGTAAGTTACACTTTGCATGGTGATACATCTGGTGTTAATTTTTGTTTTCTGTAAAATACAGCATAGTAAAGCAAAATATGGAAAGATCCAGAATGAAGGTAGTGGATTGAAATTAGGTTTTTGAGAGCAGTATTTAACAAAGATAAAAATGAATAAGCAAATGTCAGTAATATGGCAATGCAAGGAAGAGTAAGTAAGAGCCATGAGAGCTTTGACAAATGCCTTGAGTTTGAGTAATAAGTCTGCAAGAAGATTGCTCAAAAGACTGCTTGTTCTAACTTCTACAAGTATGGATTTGAAAATCTGGGGTCTAAATGATGGTAAAACAAAGCATAGAGTAGTTATGGTAAATAATCTATGATGCTTGTTGGAATTCCTGAGTATTGATAAGAGTAAGGAATTGTAACAACTAAGAGTTTGATTTATGGGAATTAGGGGAGATGAGGTAATGCAGTGTGGAGGGAGGCAGAATGAGAGAGAGACAGACAGAGAGAAATAATAAAGGGAGGAAGAGGGAGAAATACTAATAGCTAGGCTTGCATGCTGCATTAAAGATTAGGGTGTAGTCACAGATCCATATAATGGAGATATAGCTTTATTTGTCCTCTTTTACAGTACTTTAAAAAATAATAAAATTGAAATTGGTGGAATTATTGGAAGGGCTTACTAATGTAACCCATTTATTTATCTGTATCCCAAAACAGAATGAGTTAGAGCTGCTGATGTGTGGAATTGTCTCAATTGATGTTAAGGACTGGCGAGCCAACACAGTCTACAAGGGAGATTACCATCCTAACCACATTGTCATTCAGTGGTTCTGGCGGGTAGGTTTAAGGGTCTTCATTTTAGTTTATTTAAATCTTTACATACTAGTACAGATACATTCAAATCATTATTTTATTTCTGTGTTTCTATTATATGTACAATGAAAGACAAAAGTCGTGTCGTGAAATTTGGTGAAAACATATGCCGAAGGGCTAAACTTTTGGTGCGCTCTGCCTTGTGGTAGGGGGCTCTCGTAATGTTTCATGAGTTATATTTAATCTTCAGACAAAACCTCGACACGACTTTTGTCTTTGATTGTACAGCACAGTAATGTATAAAGTACTAGTGTAAAATACGCTTTTAATTTAACAGCAACATATATGTACAGTATGTACCTATACCTTGGGTCGAAGGTAAAAATAATAATGGTTTCTTTTTAAATGAAGTATTGTATCTCTGACTGAAGATTTAAACATCCTTTTACCCATTAAATTCTACAGTATTTGGTAACCCTGAACTCACCCTCCTACATCTTCACTGAAAGTATTGTTGAAATACAGTCAGCCAGAAAATGAAATTGAAAAGAGTTTCAATAACACAAGATATAACTAGACACAGACGGTTCATTAGTACATTACAATGAAATTGATTGAACAAGATAACATTGACCATCAGACAACTATTTTCAACAGAACAGTGAAGAGAGGAATAATAAGTTATCAGTCAATCAACAACTTAAATGACTAGGCATATTAATAAACTCATACTGATTAATTTCTTCCTTGTTTTATATATATATATATATATATATATATATATATATATATATATATATATATATATATATATATATATATATATATATATATATATATATATATATATATATATATATATATATATATATATATATATATATATATATATATATATATATATATATATATATATATATATATATATATATATATATATATATATATATATATATATATATATATATATATATACAGTATATATATATATATATAACTGTATATATATAAAACTTTCCATTTGCCCTAAAAACATTGTATATAACACAACTCTTTTTAAATTAAAATATGTCATGTTCAATTGGTAAATCCAACAGATGCAATATATCCTTAAAGACCGAGAGTAAGAATTTCAAAGGTACTCTTGTGAAAAGTGAATTGACATCAAAACTTATTAGTTCACATGGTTCATTGTGTTTCTTAAGCTTATCAATTAAATCAATGGTATATACATACACAGTATTGAATATAACGAGGAGAGATTGTGCTCTTATAACGTGTATTAAAGTTTTAATAATTTGAGTGAAAATAATCAACCATAGTGTATAAACTGCTTTTATACAAACTACAATTTTTTTCATAGGTGAACCAAATATGTTTTTAATATATAAATATTACTTCCAGGTGGTTCTGTCCTTTACAAATGAAATGAGAGCTCGTCTGCTTCAGTTTGTTACTGGTACTTCACGTGTTCCCATGAATGGGTTTAAGGAACTCTATGGCAGTAATGGACCACAACTCTTTACAATAGAAATGTGGGGAGAAACCAAAAACTACCCACGCTCACATACATGGTAAGAATTCTCAGTATTTAGTTTGGGCTTTTTGGAAAGAACTCGTGGGTAATAAATCAGGACAGCAATGTTCATGACTGTTCAGATAATTGAAACAGAATGATTTGAATTGATAGAGTTTATATGATTGGAAAAAGTGCTGTTGCAGCCAGCAGGGAGTTCCAAAGAGTGATAGTCCAGGATATACTGAGTTGTGGTATGTATTGGTTACTTTGCTACTGCTACCTGTTCTTAAGTAAAGTTGCATGTCTGGATCAGCTTGTAGGAAGACAGCTCCTGTTCTAATGTTGCAGTCTTCCACATGTAGAATGAATTGTTAATTGAAGTTTGCAGCCCATAACACTGAAGTAGATGCAAATAGAGACTTTATTCTTTCAAATGCTTCTTTTGGAGAGATGAGATCAGGAAATGGTTTGGCTACTTGCAAAGGTTTTAACAAAGTGTCTGTTAAAACCAGCCAAGCTCAAGAACCTTCTGAGGCTTCGTTGATCTTGTAGAAAAGAGAAGATCAGCATGGCTTCCACTTTTACAGTATGGGGAACTGTCTTTCCTTGCCCAATGATGTGTCCCAGGTAAGTTACTGTAGCTTGGGCAAAAGTTACATTTAGCGAGGTTGATGACGAGCCCTACCGACTGCAAGTGATGAAAGAGCTGCTGCAGACGTTGTATGTGCACCTCCCAGGTAATAGCCACCACGATGTTGTCATCCAAATGGGCCTGGATTCCTTCCAGGTCTCAAATGATTTTGTTCATATGCTGGAAGGTGTCAGGAGCTCTTTTGAATCCGAATCCGAAGGGCATAAACAGGTATTGCCACAAGCCAACTGGGGTGACAAATGCTAAGATGTTTCGAGCATTGGGCGAAAGTGGCATCTGGTAGTAACCTCGCAAGAGATCAATCTTCCCGACGTATTTTGCTATTCCTATAGTGTTGATGATGTCATCCAGATGGAGCAGTGGGAAGGAGTAGTCATTTGTGAGGCAATTCACGGCTCAGCAGTCCATGCAGAGGCGGTCAGTCTTGTCAGCCTTCAGGACTAACAGACAAGGGGAGGCCCATGGCCCATCTCATTAATATATTGTTTAAATAGTAATACAGGTATGGGACATTATGGTGGACAAATTGGAATCATCAGTAGAAATAGGCAAATTTCCCATTTCCAAAAAAATCAGAAACACCAGTCAGATCTGTGTCATTTGAATTAGGTTGCTTAGCTTAGGACCTGATCACAACACAGTGGGGTCATCTTTTTCTACTGTATGGTTTTCTTTGGTAGGTTTTTTTATAACAATTGGTAGAGGAACCACTAATGATTCAGCAATATCATCCTTAAACAGGCATTGGTCCTTCACAAACTCCTACCTTAATGTTACCGTGAACTAATTCTGAATGTATACTAGCCAGAGGTATAACAGGAAATCCAGACAAGTCTTGCAAGATTATGTCTTCACCCATGTAATTATTTTCAACGAGAAGCAAAGCGTCTTTCTGAGGATACTCTGAGCACTTGCCGTGTCTCTTAAAATTACAATTTCTTAAAGTGGGTGATTTTTTTCCTGATGATATAGTGTCCTTGAATTTTAAATATTTAAATGGGTCCAAGCATTTAAATACCTCTACAATATTGATAATTAATAGACTTGAATTTATAACTGGCAAATTTTGAGAATTTAAAATAAATCAATTCCTACACAGAGTTCATACTAGATATGATGTAGTAAAAAAGACAATTAATACCAAAACTGTACAATGTTTCAGACATGAAATAATTTTGGATTATATAATGTTTAACTACCCATCAATATAGTAAATTGTAATGAAAATTAGCTTATAAGTTAAAAAAAATCAGGCCCCTAGAATGGAAATGAAAAAATTTGGACAAAACGTTGTCAATTTAATAGGCTACTTCCCTGGACAGGCTCACCATTTTGTCTTAGAGTAGAATTTAAGGTTAACAAATTAAATAACTCTTAGATACTCAAAGATTAGATAAGAAGTTCCACTCTTGAATAAATCATTTATGTTCCTGAGAAAATTATAAATAATAGATGTAATAATGTCACTAGGCTCAGAAAATTTCTTATGAGGGTTAGTTGAACAGCTATAGTAATTTTCTTACAGCTATGCTTAAAATTAATATTTACAAAAATGCATACCAATCAGAAAACTAATACAAAAGTTAAAAAAAACACTGAACTGTTTTGTGTCTTATACCAGCACCAGTTATGAAGACATTCGCTCAATTGCCTCTTCCAAGATTAGGAGGATATAGGTCAAGAATAATGATGAAGGACCCATTATGAATTTTGAAAAAAAAAATTAGTAATGCGGAGGAGGTAGAGGACAGTGTTGACCATCTGACTGGAGTTGTTGAGAGTAGGAACCAATCTTAGTGTGGTACTTGAGTCATGCATTGTCTCAGGCAAGAAGCTGTGGAAGAACTTAATATTATGTGTTTCTGTTATTTTACATGAACGTACTGTATATTTACATTTTTGTAAGGTACATTAAAAAAATTAAGGACTTTGATGATTTGCTCACACAGTGGCACCAAGATATATTCACTAAACAGCACAAGGGTTAAAATTTTCTTTGCTTCTATTTAACTTGTGTTATACAACCCAAAATCTTAGATCGGGAATGCACCTTGAGATAATACAGTAGCTACATGAATTTTAGTGGGAAAATGTGCATCTTATAACATAGTTCCACATAACATACTGTCGTGTTTTACAGAATAAAAATAGGTGTACTTTGTCGAATGGGATACTTCTCTATACATTCATGATATGTCTGAGAGTTTTTCTGATAATAGCATGGATGAGTGTAGTTCAAGTCTATATTCATATGTATCATTAATCAGGTAGACTAATATCCTTTGCTACAAAGATATCAAAGAAAATTAATAATCAGAGATGCTTCATATATTCTTGTAGATCATGAAAGTTTTAATTTTCAGCTTTAACCGACTGGATCTGCCTCCATACCAGTCTTACCATGAACTCCGTGAAAAGCTCATCAAGGCCATTGAGGGCACTGTTGGTTTTGCAGGAGTGGACTAAGTACATCTTGTAAAATACCCTTATAGTGGTTGATGGAGAGATATTGTGAAGAAGAAAAAAGAAGATAGTGTTGCAGGAACTTATTAAAAGGAAAAGGTATATTGTTGGTACTGTAGTTACAATGATAAAAACTCAACATTAATAGTATTGTCATAGGTGAAGTTTGATTTCATAAGAAAGGAAATTGCTGAACTTTCCAAACTGTAACCTTTAAGGCCAGCTAAATTAGATACCAAGTTGATAACTTTAGAATGAGATTAAGGATGAAGAGAAATATAAATGAACAATACTGTAACTAATACAAAAGTAGTAAGACATATGAAGGAAAGGACAGTAATTTTGTCAGCATACCCAGAATTCTCATTCAAATTCTCGTTCAGTTCGTAACATCTTAAGATTAATCCACTTCTTCTATCTCTCATTATATGGTAGTTTAGCTACTCTTCCTTGTTTATTACAAGGTTAGTGATTCATATTATAGCATATTACTGACATGTGAATATCAATATCAATGAGTTGATCAAAAGTATGGCATCTTATTGATGTGTGGATATCAATAAGAAATTCCATATTATAGCATCTTAATGACATGGGAATTTCATAAAAGTAATCCATGTTTTAGCCTCTTATTGACATGTAAATATCAATAAGATAATCCATATTATAGTATCTTATTGTCAAGTAGATATCAATAAGGTGCCCATATTATAGCATCTTATTGTAAAGTAAATATCAATAGCCTACATTTTATAAATGAATTTGGCAGTGACATACTAGCCTCATTGTTATTAAACATCAAGAAATTTACATATTGTGATATAAATGTCATATTATTTAGCTGTTGGTAGCATGGCTATGTAGGCTTGTAATTGTCCTATAGTGTAGTTGTTTTGTATGTGTGTAGAAGGGAAGCTGCACTAAAGTTTGTGTGCATTATGAGTGATTGAGGATAAGCACGTATTGGTTGCACGAGTATATGTGGATGGATGCATACAGTTATGGGTGTACTCATTTATGTTTACCTATGTTTGTGCATGCAAATTTGTGTGTGTGTGTGTGTGTGTGTGTGTGTGCGCGTGTGTGTGTGTGTGTGTGTGCGTGCGTGCGTGCGTGTGGTCATATGCATGCATTTTTGTATGTGCATGTTTGTACATTCATATATGCATGTATGTGCATGTGCATGTAATTGTGTGCACATACATAGTGTTTAGATGTGTCATACATACATATGCATACAGACATGTTAATGCCTATAGTCATGTTTGCATATATCATGGCTTTGTTTTGAATACATGTATGTATATAGAGATATAATATAAATGCATATAAAACTCCATATGCACATGACCAGAGTATCCTATGTGCATGGCTTTGGATGGAGGGTTTCTTAGATAATAAGTTGAATATTCTTTATTATATTTTAAACATTGTGTAAATTAGAAATGTACCTCCTCACTTTTCCATTTCTTCTGTTGATTATATATTCAAAAGTGGAGAGGCAAGTCTGAAGCTCTGCCAGCAATCAATAATTGTGAATAGTTAAGATAGGTGATCTTTTTTCACTTTGACAAGGTAAAACTTCATGGTCATCCCTCAGTACTTTTTTTCCAAAGTCTCAATTATTTATATACTGTATACTGACACACATTTAGCATGCATAGCCAAAAGAGAAAGATTTATAATTAAGAGCTGTGGATGGAACATTTGAACTTTCTCTATTATTCATTCATTGGTTAGCCAATATATAATAATATTTTTTATTGCAAATTATTAGTTATTAAAATGTAGCCATAATTTATAGTTTTCATACCTACAGATAAGATAATGTAAAGAGTTTTAGTTCATGCATATATCTCATTCCTTTTAATATACTTTTTTTGGCCAAAATAATGTACCGGTAATATAATTATTTGAAGAGTTTAGAGACCAACTGATATTCATTAAGATGTGTAGATATGAGGCACATGAGGAATAAAAGCAAAATAGGTACATAAAGAAAAATAGTTACCTGAACAAAGTGTAATAGGTACATATATTAGGTAAATAGATGCAATAGCATTTGATACATCCATTCAGGTAATAATGAATTCTGGTGTTAATATATGCTTTTACAATTTCATATTCTGTTTTAGAAAATAGATCAACAAACCTTCTATAGGTAGATGTGCCTTCAAACAGAAAAGTGGTTGTTTTTATTAAAAATAAATATATATCATGGGCAACTTCATAATTTCTGATATCCACCATTGTCAAGTTAGTGTCATTCAGCACCAGATGCTTCATCTTTCAAAGTTCTGAAAAGTCTGATTTATTTAATTATCATTTATACAAAAAACCTAGTGAAAGGAGTAATATCTAATTTCATTTAAGCTTAGCACTTAATTTCAGTATTACTTATTTAGTCCCTGGTTTAATTAAGTACTGTACAGTACCAGTATGTAACATTTCTTAATTGATTTATAAACAAAAAGTTCTTTCACCATATTAGCAATCTTCTGAAAGGAGGTTTAGAACTAAGAGTACCTCAAAAGAAAAGTTATATAAAAATGTTTCATTTAGTTGTGCTTAATCAACGGCATAAGTAGCAACTCATAACTGCATGTTTCATTTTTGGCAAAAGTTTGAGATGTGGAGAGTTTAAGTGTTGTGATTGGTGCAATAGATTTATTATTGTGTATGTCAGTCCCATTACAGTATAAATTTAATGTCTGGGTCTGTCTGCCACTCTCTAGGTTTATAAGTGAAAATGTATAAACTATATTTCAGATATAGAATGACCTCCAAACATTAATACATGTAATTGAAAATCAAATTGCATATAAGAGTTTGGCACATATTTGTATGTACAATATATTGTACAGTACCTGTATACTGCAAGGTTTTATTGTCTGCATACATACAGTGTATTGCATTTTCATATACAGTAAGTTTTCCATAATCAGTGATGGGAAGACTTGTATTTACCCAGTTTGTCATATTCTCTTACCTCTCCTCCCCTTCCTCCAGTCTTCAAGTTTTTCATCCTCTAACTTTTAAGGCTTTATCCAGTGCAAATCTGAAACTGCATAATCATTATAAATTAAATTTTGCATGTCTTTGCGCCTTTAATTAGACAGCCTACAGAATAGTGTAAAAGTTCAAAATGTCACAACAAGCATATTGTGGCTACTTTTTGGCTATTTTATTGTGGAAGATTACAGGGATGCTCTGTGGCACTCCCATTATACATCATTGGTTAAGGTTCTACTAGGAAGTTTTGATGGTATCACAATTGACCCATGAGTAAATCTTAAACTTCCTGCATTGGCTTGTGAATGTAAAATTGTAAATTTAGGATTTTATTTTCATATGTCATGGGGAGTTATAATTTCATGCATGAGCTAATCTCTTGTGAGGTAAGACCATCACATCCTTAAAATTGTAAATAAAATGAGTGTGTTTATGCACATTTATGTATAAAGGATTTTAATATTTGTAATCTTAGTTGGTAGTTGGGGAATTTGGTGTTGACACTGAGAGGTAATGATTGTGGTTGGTTTTATCCATCAGTAGTCTTGAATATGTATCACAACCAGGAGGGTAGACTTTACCTTCACTGAGTAAATGAAAGATATAATTATACTATTAGATGGGATTCATCAAATATGGTTTAAGACATTTTGTAGAGCCACATGCAGCCATCATGGAAGAGAGGTGTTAGTGTAAATTTTCAGAAATGTTATTTCCTTCAATCTGTACAGTAAATATGTTTCATTGTCGTTTTTCCAACTTCAGTTCATAATCATTCTATTAGTGAAAATAGTTTTCTCTTTACTGGGCATTTACTGTTAGAGGATGTATTCATGTCTGTTTTTACATTAATTAAATTACTTGACTCATGGTTAAAATAAAAATAGAAACTGTTTCAGTAGAATTTCAAAGCAGTGAGGATTTTGTCAGTTGTATGATAATTATCTCCCAGTTAATATATTTGAAATGATTCTGTCCATTTTTCAGCAGGGAACCAATTAGCAGAGATTTTTAATACAATAAATTGAATTCTCTACAGAGCTATTCTATCCAAATTATCCAAATAGATACAGTTTGTGATTTGTAGTTTATCAAATTTAAAAAGCTATGACCGTGAAGTGGAAGAAACTAACATTTCTGATGAATGCCCAATGCTGTACAGTGATCCCTCAGTTAACGAATTACCTTCCATAAGATTCTTCGCTTCGGTTAACGAATTCCTTATGAATTTTTCCCAACATGTTTTTGCTTGCATTTGGCTGCTCACCAGCTGTAGTATTAGTCTGTCAATACAGTAATCGGTTCTAGGGCTTAAATTCGTTACCATTTTAGTAAATATCAAGAGGATTGTACTATTCAATAATTTTAAAAGTTTTATATTAAATTTTTTAGTCATTTTAACAATTATTGAACATAATTGTACAGGAAACTAGTTTTTTGCGCGCCAAACAGCCACTAAACACACCGAGCTTGGCGTCAGTTTGTTTATCGGTTCAGAGGAAGGAACATCTTGTTTGAGACTTCAACATAAATGCATTTTTTCTGTGTTTCCAGTCAAATTATTGGTCATTTTGAAATATATTTTACCTTATTGATAATATATAGTGCAGTGTTGATTTAAAGAAAATAATCTTGAATTACACCAAGTGAACTAAAATTTTATGGGTGAAATGGCGGCATGGGGTGACTTCTCTTCCACCCCATCATCATCAACCAGGAGCCTTCTACATGCACGCCTCAAAGTAAGTGTACTTTACTGCATTTATTTTTAGTTTGTATGTAATTTTCGGTGAGCTGGAACCAATTACCCAAAAACCCATTGAAACAATGGTTTCGGTTAACGAATTTTTCGGTTAACGAGCAACCTTCTGGAACGAATTGTGCTCGTTAACCGAGGGACCACTGTACTCCCATAACCACATGTAATAAAAATTTCACATCTTCTGAGATATATATATATATATATATATATATACAGTGACCCCTCGGTTAACGAACTCAATCCGTTCCAGAAGGTCGTTCGTTAACCGAAAAGTTCGTTAACCGAAACCATTGTTTCAATGGGTTTTTGGGTAATTGGTTCCAGCTCACCGAAAATTTCCTAAATTCAACAAAAATGGTAGAAAAGTTCACTTACTTTGAGGTGTGTATGTAGAAGGCTCCTGGATGATGATGATGGGAATTAGAATGGGGGTGGAGGAGAAGGAAGACGATAAAGCATTGGGGTGGAAGAGAAGTCACCCCATGGCACCATTTCACCCATAAAATTTTAGTTCTCTTGGTGTAAGTCAAGATTATTTTCTTTAAATCAACACTGCACTGCATTATATATTGTCAATATGTAAAATATATTTCAAAATGACCAATAATTTGCTTGGAATCACAGAAAAAAAGCGTTTAGTTGAAGAGAGTCTCAAGCAAGATGTTACCTCCAGTGAAAACAGAGAGAGACTAACGCCTGTTTGCTGTGTTAAGAGGCTGGATGCCACGCATTAAACTAGTCACTTTACCTTCAATTATGTTCAATAATTGTTAAAATGACTAAAAAATTGAATATTAAACTTTTAAAATTATTGAATAGTATAAACTTCTTGATATTTACTAAAATAGTAAGGAATTTAAGCCCTAGAACCGATTAATGTATTGGCGGACTGATACTAAAGCTGGTTGCCCGGTCAGTGCAAGTAAAAACATGTTGAGGTCGGTTCGTAAGATACGTTAACCGAATTGAAGATCCATATGGAAGGCAGTTCGTTAACCGAAATTTCGTTAACCGAGGCGTTCGTTAAACGAGGGGTCACTGTATATATATATATATATATATATATATATATATATATAATACAGATTAAAGAGTATCACCGCACGATATGCATTTGTTGAACTTATAGCCCAATTTCCTGTTGCATGTAAACTGACATGATTCCATCTTCAGAATACAGCATACCCATTCATGGTGTATGATTGGCTGCACAGTTAGGGGCATTGGATTGATTTTACAGTTTTCACTTAGGCAGCTACAGTATGTCTAACTTGACTACTGCTAGAATTGAGCCTGATATATATGTACTTTTTACAAGAATGTTTAATTCTGTAAAATTCTTTGAAATACAATAGTTTTTATATGTAGCAATCGAGACCATTATGTTACACATTTTTATACTGCAGGCATAGTATTTTGCTGCTTATCAACAGTCAATTATTATTTGTTGAGGCTATGAAAGAAGTAGGCCATGAGGAAGGGTGTCACCTTAAGTCTGTATAATATTAAGATATACTATTTAACATAATTTGGGTATTTTGTGTGAAAGTTTTTTTACGATTAAAAGGTATGTTTGCAATGAGAATTATAGATATGAACTATAAGTTGGTAGTTTTTAAAAGTTTCATATTCAAACTAATTCAAATTAGCAAGCAGGCCTAAAAATCTGGATATTCATAGATTTATCCCATATCAGTGACATCATTGTTTTCTTGATTTTAAGTGATTAGTTAATGTGAACAAAATATTATATGTGGATATTTGGCCCTAAGAAGTCTGTTTCATAAATATTAAAAGACTGCCTAACATATCAGTTTTAATTCTTTACTGAGTAACCCTAATATCAATTGCCTATGATTTTTTTTTTTTTTTTTTTTACACAATTCAAGTGAGGTGCTGTTAAGTTATTATATGACTAAAATGCTATAGAGTAGGAACTGCCAGAAAAGAATGTTATGTAGGAAGCAGTTACCAAACTGAAGTACCTTGTAGGAGTAGCTACCAGATTAATATGCAATACAGGATCAGTTGTTAAATTTATGTCACGGTAGTAATTAACAGACCAGAAAATTTTGCACAACCCACAACCTAGTCACTTGGAATGCTCATATTGTCTATGAGCATTCCAGACCAAGAAACAAATGGAAGTTAAATTAAAGACCTAGTCAAATGAGAAAGCTTAATATAAAGTCCAAATTTCAGAAAGATATTACAACCCTTCCTGTGAGTGATATACTACAGGTGCATTCATTTTGTATTTTATATAAACCCAAAGAAAATCCAGCTTGATTTATGCAGTGCAGGACAGTAGGTTAAAACTCTAATGACTATCATATAAACCCTATTGTAATATTAATTATTGTCTATCAGATTGTAGATGTACACATGAGAACAGAGAGGACAATTAATAGCGTAGAATTTTGAAGAAGTTTGCAACATTTTTTGTTGGGTTTAACTTTTGTATATACGAAGTTTATATTTGCAATACATGGATTGTTGCAGAAATGTGTTTCTACACCCCCTGTAGTAACCCATGTCTCCAAACAGCAATCTTGAAGTCGTAGTATCACTGTTCATGAATGAATGGGTATTGGTCATGTAACAACGGACATGATTGGTGGATAGGTTTGCTATAGGTTATATAGATTGGCCGTTTGGAGACACGGGTTACCACGGGGGATAGAAACACATTTCTGCAAGTGTACCTGTTTGTTGAGTAAAAAAGATGTAATTTTTAAAGTACGTAACCCCTATTGTAATTTACCCCGCAAACTAGTGGTAAGACACCCTACAATGATAAAGAATGTGTTTTTGTAAGTATATGTATAATGCTCATTATAATACAGGTATCCCCACATTACGAGCCAATTTTCCCATTGAAACCCATTACATACTGTGATTGGAAACGTGTTCCTTAAGATAGATTTCTGGCCAAAACACAAAAAGTTACAAATGAAAATTGGCCCTCTTTAAACACACATTGTATTAGAAAATTTAATACCTAATTTTTATTCAGTACAGTATATGATAATACATAAGAAGAGGTGAATTTAACTATAATCAAATGCATGGCAGCAAACACGCAGAGGAAGATAGAGAGATTCCCTGATAAACGTATTTGGTACTCTGCAGCACTGTATATAGTACAGTACAGTATTGGCAACACAAGCAATAAGTCACATCAACCTGAAACCCCACAAACTGGTAAAACAATATGACCTAAAGATCATATTAATAAAAGGGAGGCTTAGGAACCAAGATCATATAAGGATCACACATTACAGCTGAAGGTATACTAAAAGCCACAAAGAAAAACAAATATTT